ATATTTAGATATAGAAGTATGAAATAATCGTTATTCTTTACCAAGAAAACTACATAATATTAGCAATAAATGAAAAGTTATGAAATTATTCTAACATTAAAAATACTGTTTGTATTGCACTTTAACTAATGCATTTTTTAATAAATTGTATAGAAAATTTCAAAACATACATTCCTCAAGCAAAAAGTCTTCAGCCTGTAACAATTTATTTTGTGCTATATATTTGTTTTTTTTGCTGATAATTATAAAATGTATTTTTTATTATTCAATAAATAATTAAGGATACAACAAGATACTCTTTAGATTTACAAGTTAACCCTTTGGCGCCGACTTTTCTCGCCATGATTTTACATTTTTCTATTAACAATAGCTTGTTTTCAAATTTCATTTTCTTTTTCAACTTCTTATACCATCGAAAATGTCAGATAACTGATTTTTTTTGCAAATGTATCAAAAACTTGTATGAATTGGATTACTTCATACGTCACCTATATTATTTATAAATTGCTCATTTATATATTTGCACAAAGACTGAATTTTTCATTGCTCACATTACAAAGATATGTTATACAAGAATATATTGGATTACTTATTACTGTGGTATAACTAAAACCCAACAATTTATAAAGTTTCTGTGTTTTTGGCAGACGCCACTAAAAGCCCAGGCGGAAACAATGCGCAAATAAAAGAAACTTCCCTTCCTCGACTTACATAACTATCTGAAATTTCCCCTCCGCTCGCCATTAATTGCCATTGTTATATGCACTTTTGCCCCTTCGTCCATTAAAACATGAATATTGTATTCAATATAATTCAAACTATAAATAATAAGCTTCAGTCTTTTGATATCATTGTAGGAAAACTTTCAACATTGATATTTTCTATTGATAGTGGTTCTATTAAATAATAGGTTGGATACTTCTTCTTTATTACTAATTAAGTGATATAAATAATACAAGTTAGTATATTTAATTACTTATTTTATTTTGATATGATTTAAATAACACTTTCCAAAAAAAAAAGAATTTTTCCACAATATAACATTAACATTTGTATCTCTGTATTTTCGCCATTCTTTGTAAATTAATTTTGAGAAATCATCATTCGCAATAATAAAATATTATCATCCTCGAATCTTTCGACTCATAAAGACTTGGAAGTTTCTTTGAAGTCCCGTTGTCTGTCTCCCTGCTTCTGTTACTTCTTGGCTTCGAGGTTTAACATTAATTTCAATGCCAAACCCAAATTGAAATCCTGAAAGCCTTGTCAACATAATGCGTCTGTGCGCAAATTATGAATTTGAATTTTATTACACCAACAGCTGCCAGCTTCGAACAACTTAAACATGTTTACGAATTAAGTATGAATTTATGTAGATTCTTTACGGCTACTTTTTTTAATTATTATATTTTATTTTTACATATTGTATTTCTAAAAATTAAATCTTATATAAAATTATCCAACATTTTCATTCAGTTTATTAAAGAAAAATCTAGAATAACTTCCAAATTTACATTTGATTACTATATTTTGTGTTTCTTATTTAATTTATATATGTTCTTCATATTTTCTTGATATTTTTATTGAAATCTGTATGTAATGATTATAAAGTCACTTTGAATATGTTCTTGTTCATTTCTTCTCATCTGCTTATCAGAATATGTATTGTATTCTAGATGTCTCAATGTTTTTCAACATACAATATATTAAACGTAACGTTGCTTATTTTATTGTGCAAATATATTTAATATTCTACATGACTTTTAAATTTAAAATCAATTGAGTTGGTGAAGAACTAGACAGAGTTTAACATAAAACTTTGTTGTAATGCTGCATACACACTGTATGTAATTTGAGATATCAATTTATGTTAGGAGTATTATGTATAATATATACGTGGCAATTGAAGTTCTTAGTTAAATTTTATCGTTTTGGTACTCCATTTAGGTACGTAACGTATCCTAGACCACTAGTCGCCAAACAGTGGTCCGTGGACCTCGAGCAAATTTTGATGGGCCGCAAAGTAATTTGAATATGTTTCCAAATTTTGTTTTTATTGTATTGTCATTCTACGATTGTACTTTTTTTTCAATTTTTAAAAAGCATGTTTATAAAAGATCCAATGTAAAACAAGTGTATGTATGATTTCATATTTAGAATCCCATTTTTATGGAAAAATATCATGGTAGTAGTACATGGGATTACACATTTTGAGTTTAGTAATCCATGGGGTCCAAAAGGCGACCGCTGGTCTAGAAGACAAAGCCTAAACGAACCAACATTAACCAAACTCACAATATATAAAAAGTACACAATATAGTAAAAAGTATATTTAGAGCTTAGTTAGGGGTCGAATATAGACCATACTATGTGGAATCTGTGTTAATCGAGGAAGCGTTAAACGAGGTGGAATCTGCAACCAAAGAAAAACAGTATGACTAGCAGAAAACTATAAGTGCCTAAGTGAGTTAAACATTGATATACTATTGGTAATAGTAGATCTATAAAAGGTTCTAATAAAAATGGTAAAATTCCCCGTATCATTCTTTCCCCTCTTAGTCTACGTGAAACAATTCGGTAATGTGATAAAGGGTGGCCCAGCGTGGAATGAGTGGGGTCTTAATAATAAATGCAAACGCCCTGGCCTTAGTACGCGAAAACTCTCTCTCCCCGTCTTATATAAATATTGATAAAGTGGGAAACGTCTTGTAATGTGGGCGCGTTTTCCCAGTGACATAGTATAACGCCGTGCGGATCTCCGTTTTCCCCTGGCCGAAAACCGTGTGACCACGCAGCGGGGAAAACGCATAAAACAGTCAGCCAGTTTCCCCACAAACAGCCCCCAAAACAACCCCACATACTGCATCCATAACTCTTACTTATATCGCACTCCAGCGTCAGACACTCCACTGTCTCCTTCCTTCCTTGCTTCTAACCCTCCTTCTTCCCGACGTTTCTACCGTCTTACCACCACACCAAACCCTCCACAAAAACAACATTGAATTTATTTAAATACATGAATTATAATTTCTCAACGAGGCGGCAATCTTTTTTTTTGTCTTTCACGTCTAGATATATTAATTTCAATGCCTATACCTTCACAAGGAATCATTTATTACGTAAAATCTGGTTTCAAATACATTTAAATACACCGAATTAAAAAAGAACCAAATTTTAAACGAATTTATATTTACTTGATAAATATAAAACATATTCACAAATTAAATTTATTGTTAATAAAAATTAATGCTGATAATAGGGGGAACTTTTCCTTGGATTTTTGTTGTTCCCAGGAAATGGCATAGTTAAAGTTTAATTTTCCCGGGAAAATATAAAAAATGCACATGTTTACCAAACACTGTATTCTTTATTCATTCTATTAAATATATTATCTATCATATTTTTCAAGTTTGTGACTTAATAATTTATCAAAAGTCATAAAATAGTTGTGTTTTATGTTCTGCATTTTATGTTATTTAATTTATTTTCATAGTAAAAATTATATGAAATGTTTTAGAAAATTATACTCTTCGCTTACTTGCTATGGTGGAAGTATTGATTTGCAACATCTACGAACATTTTGAAGCAGATGGTGCTTATATAATGAAATATCAAGCCTTAATGGAGGGTGGTGTTATGGTTTCTTAATGCATTTTCTAAAATCCCAAAAACTGGGGTTCGAACTGAAAACAAGGGCTACCAACGTTATACTTTTTAAAGTACAATTTAAACCAGGTTTAATTAAAATAAATGACGATAAGTAAATTTTTAATATACGATATTCAATTTTCATTTCGATCATTAAATTTTGTACGTATTCACTTACGTAAAATAAATATTTATATAAATCGGTAATAAACACATAATATAGATTTATTTCCTTTAAAAAAATACAGTTTGTATTTCACACGTATTAAATTTATTTTATCGTATAATATGAAAAAAAGTATGGGATTCCTTGAAGATGATGATGCGAGAAGTGGATTTTATGCTCCATAACTCAATATAATAATGATAAAAAGGTAAATGTACGAAAAGAAGAGGAAACGGAGACCGTTTTCACATTTATATTATATTTTTTTGGGTGAGAGGTCATAAAATGCCTTTAAATAATTTGAACGAGGATAATATTACCGGGCTGTCTAAATTCCACGCGTATTATTCAATGCATTAACACCTTTATTTTGTGAATACTTGTAAGGAATTTAGATTGGACTGGGACAAATTGTTTCGTTACTTACGCAATTAGAACAACCGTGCAATATTACGAAAAGCTAATAGTAATTGAGAAAGTATTTTACGCATCTTATTAAGGTATACAATTATACAATTGAAATAATTTTCTAATATTAACTAGTATATTTAAAACATAAATCTTAAAACCACACAATTAGATGACTGATGATCTAAACATATCTCATTTTTTAATTACTACTAGACATTTTAAGGAAAATTATGTAATGTATTACTGAAATTGAAGAAACTTAATAAAATTACGTTTCTTGTGAAAGATATAAAATTATTGAGAGTTAAATCTAAAATTTGTATTGCATAAATATATTTTTGTGACTATAGAAAGCTAAAATAGCAAAAAATAGTCTTTTGACTAGCTTAAATATTAACAGAATTTATTCATAAGATAAAAATACATAAAATGCATAAATCAAGTAAACAAAATAATATAAATTTAAAAACAATAAATACGATGGCAGTCCTAGAAGTATCCGACCTCACGTATGGCGGTTTTTGTTTGATAAAACTACTATGATCTAAAGTATCAAGCTTATAAAGCTTAAGTATGAAGACGCTACATATTTATTTGATAGCCATCAATAGTGAATGCTGTCAATGAATTTGTAGCATGGAAAAAATTGGTCCAATCTATATTAAAGCCGAGGAAGGTTCTACTCTGGGGGTGTCTGATCCTTTGTCTACAATAATAAAGTATTGGGTAGTAGAGTTTAAACTTGTATGAGCTGCCAAAATAAACATCGCCAGAAATGGTGAAGAAAATCCACAAAATAGTATTGGCTGACCATCCCCTGAAAGTGCACGAGCTAGCAGATATGGTAGTCATTTCAAAAAGTGCTCTATATAAGATATTGACTGAAAATTTGGACATGAGAAACCTGTGCAAGATGGATGCCGCATTTGCTCACAATCAAGACAATGCACTAGTTCACACATCCGTTATCGCGAAGGCCAAAATCAATGAGTTAATGTTCGAATTGTATCCTTACGCACCCTAGTGGCTAGATTTAGATCTCTCGGACAATGAAGAGGTGCAGTCTGCGGTTGCTAGCTATTTTGAGGAGCTCCACGGTTCTGACTATAAACAGGGTATCCAAGCTATTGAACATCACTGGGAAAAGTGTATCGAGCTAAAAGAAGACTTTGTTGAGATATAAAGATATTTTCTTTCCATTGTGTTTTCATTGTTAGGACAGATACTTCTGGGACTATTCTCGTACCATGCATAGTAGAAAAAAATTAACTCCCAATATCAAGAATTAATAAAACGAAAATTATTTGTTCAAAATCATAAATAGAAAAAATACTGCCTAAAAGGCAATCATGATCTTTCCGTTCTATATGAATATAAATATTTTTATAATTTAAGATCTTTAGTTAATTTTAGGAATGTTTTTGAATGTATTTTCCAGGTATTTTAGATTCCACGGCACAATTTTAATGATACATTTCTTTAATATTTTCTCTAGCAATATTATTGAAGACACCATAAAATTAATAGAACTGTAACTATTGTAGATACTGTAACTATTATATAAAATACTTAAATTATAGATAACATACATGATAATGCAATAATAATTGAGGTTTGTTAGTCTTCAAATAATTCAAGATTTGACCATTTGTGTGTATTTTTTATGTAACAACTTGTATCTTGTTATGTTTTTATTTTGATTTGAATATTTTTATATTTTCTCATCAAATTATTATCAATATTAAAGCAGATAAGATAAATTATATATATTCATTATAATTAAATTTTATTTTTTTTTGTGACTATAATTACTTTTATCATTCAGGTATAGATGACAATTTATTAATGAAAATGCTACTATTGGATTATTACAATGATCAATTTGTGTTAAGGATGTAACAAAGTATCAAGTTATTTTTAAATCATTGGGATATTTTAATTCAATTTAAATGGAGAAATGATTTGCAAATTAAATTACCTATCACCATAGTTGACAGGTTATTACATGCAAATGTATACATGTTTAAAATCACCTATAAAAATTACTTGCAAGTAATATAATTTAATAATCAATAATGCAAACATTATTAATAATTTGTATAATATAATATCATTGAATTTCCACATTAAATACAGATATAACTAACAAATAAAACGCAACCTTTATGAAATAACATCTCGTTAAACGAATCTTCGTTTTCAGAAGTAAAAAATACTATGGCCAGAATGGGAATACGTAAGAAAAAAAATTCTTAAATAAACATTCAACTTACTTACAAAGTATCGTCATTTTAAAATATGATTGTAAAGTTAATTGTTTGTACATTTTTTGTTCAATTTATCAATTGCTTGTACGGTATTATTACATGTAGTGCCGATCGCTTAACAATAATATTTTTTAAAATCTTTATTTTCTGCAGGACGTCGATGTTAACAACGTGCAAATATTAAATATTTAAAAGATATATTCAAGTAAATATCTCTTTGTAAAGCTCTAACTTTGATTAATAGTGTTTTTGATAAGTTTTTTTTTTTATATTTCTTACGTCGTTTATTCTTGAGTATATAGTTTATATCTTCGGTGCATAAACTCACGCGTTTTAGATGGATATGCTGGCTTTGCATTCTGCTTACTTCAGATAAATTACTCAGACTTGAAACAAGCCGTGGAGATAAATTATGATAGTTGGAAGAAAGGCAATTCAATAAGAGGTCCCCTAACCCAGTTCTTCCGGTTATCGCGTGGCGATCGTTTCGTCTCTTTGTACTTCCAACTGTACGTACATTTGCCAATCCTCTTCTACCAGTGAGGCACTCTGAAAAGCCTATCCAACGCCCCTCCGTAGAACTGTATTAATTACATTACCCGGAATGGTATCCATTACAGAACTCTTCATTGCCTATAAACATTACTTTTTATTATCGCAAAAGGAATCAATGTTACATTGTACTTGTTCTTTTTTACAGTCTGATGCGGACTTAATGCATTTTAATTGCTTCTTCAGCCGAAACGGCTCCAGCTCACCCGCGTGTCCACCCGCTGGAGCCAGGAATAAAAAAAGAAGTTGCAATTCACTCGAGGAATGGAAATATTTGTCAAGACTTTCGCTGCGCTTCCCCTAAAAATAAGAGAGAGAAAAAAAGGAAGAAAAAAAAGGAATACGTATCAAAGACTGCCGAGGGATCTAATCTCGTCCCGCTGGTCAAACGGTTTTTGCACACTCACCGAAATCGACTCAAGGGTCTCTTTTTTCGCTCTTCTTTTCCTTTTTTTAAAAGCAACCAAAGAGATTTGTTTGTAAACAATCCGCCCCGTTTACCTTTCTAAAGTGGATGAACGCCCGCCGCAATCAAAGAGAGAAGCTTGCAATCAAATATTTGAACACTCTACACTGAATAATTACAAAAAAGGCAGTTATATATCAGCATTTATACTTTGATAGGATGGATTAAATATTTATATTACATTTTTTTAATATAAAATATTCTGTATCTACTTTAATTTATGATTATAATTGGTATTGATGTTATATAAAATGATCATTCAATCTTTTCAAATGGATTTTATGCGTCGCAGTAATTACGTAATGCCTGCATAGAATGTCTGTCAATAGTTTACAGTTATTGTTCTGTAATGTTCAATAATAGTAAACAACATATATCTTTCTCACTTTCATTAAATTCTAATGCCTCCTACTCATTTCATTTATTACTGCGATGCAATTAATTTTATGCAATAACAAAGTATTTCGTAATTGTATTACGGTAATTTATAAATCTTAGTATGAATGATTCACTATTACATAAAATGCTTATAAAATATGTATATATAAGAGTACAAAAAAATCAAATTTATTTTTATATATACAATTTATACTACAATTCTTTACATAACAAACAAACTTTACAATATTTGTGCTCCTAAGCTTCAGTTCTTTCAGCAAGTTCCTTAGAACTGGTATTGTGAGTGAGCTTGATGTTTTTTTGACAAAATATGATTTTATCCATCATTCTTATCTTAATTTTTTTTATAGAATATTTGTGGAATATACATCATTCAAATGGCCGCCTGTTGGTCAATTGATGTCGCCAATTAAGAGATTTGGGAAATTGGACAGCAATTTACGTAAAAGAAAGTTGTCGGAATTGTTCGATTCAATGGCTGACTGACCGACAAGGATTTTCTCACTGCTTATGTACAAATGCCATGTAGTCAGATTCCAGAAATGCTTACTTGGCGCATGCGTGATTCGTGGTATTCTAGGTTACGTGCTCAGGTTTACAACTGTTTCACTACTACTAGTAGATGCAGTTCTTTATACGAAGATAATCATTTCCGTGATAGTTGTTTAAAATTTACTTTATTTAAATTAGGTGTTTGCATTAGTTTAAAATTATCATTTATTATAACCTTAATATGGAATAACAAAGAAAGGATGTAGATCGACTGACCGCTGAGGCTAATTGCAATTGATGATATGCCTCCCAGGGGAGGCGCCAAAAAATTTTAATAAATTAATTTTGATACCATAATATATTCAAATAAATAATACGTGTCTATATTATTTAATCTATTATAACAATAAAAGGTAAGGGAGGCGCGGAAAATTATTTTTTTTTTTCGGGGAGGCGCGGAAAAAAAAATTGTTTTCGAGGAGGCGTAGTAGCATAAAGTTTGGAAACCGCTAGATTAGTGGATGTGCTCATCTATGAAAATTATTTTGTTGATCATATATTTTGTTTTCTCAAGAATAAAATGACTGGATAAATTCGGATATTCTGAAATAAACAGTATCAGTAAAGCATGGAAGAAACAAACGAATGCTCTAGATCTTATATATGCTTTACTGTACAATTCAAATAATTTGAAAAGGAAGGTCGTATAGTGTTTTTAAGTGCGCAATTTAAAGAAATTACTGCAATGCACAAGGAAGTTACTGCAAATCGATACATTTTATGGAAATTGATAAACGCTATCTGTTTGTTTGACATGAGCATCACGAATTAGAGAATAGGGGAAATTATATTAAATTGCTACATATACTCAGTGAATTTTTTGAACAGCATCCCCTGGTTGAAAAGTTACGGCTCGCGACTGGTGGTCAATAGTGAAGTGAATAATTTTGAAAAATGTAAAATCTATGCACTATTAAAAAAAATAGACGGAAATATATGGGTCAATTTTTTGACCAATCAATATGTATAAATAAATTAAAAAAATACATGAATAACTGAAATTGTAATATATACAAATAAATAGCTATTAAAAGCAAATTAGTGATGTTATTCTACTACTTTAAAGCAAATATCAATAGTATAAATTAGTAGGTCGTTTGTTTAGGAAAATTGCTATGTGGTTAACATATAGTGTATATAAAGTAAGACAAAATATATAAGGTCAGTAATTCTTATATCACCATAGAAATAACAATTCAGTTAAATAAAAATGAAATTAAAGAAAATCACAAAACTAAAATTGAAATTATCTAGATTTAATATAGAGTTGTGCAGGCAGCGAAAGTATTTGAAGTTTTTCGAAAACCAGAGGAATAAAAATCTATTAAACCATATGGAATTTTCAAAAATAAAGTGCATAGTATCAAAAAAGGAAAAGAAGAATTGGCAATTGGGGTACACTAAGATAGAAATCAACTTTTGGAAGATGTTACATATAGGAATAACGATAATTAAACTACATCACACCAGGATTTTGCGTGCAATTAAACAACTTTTGAAAGTAACCGTAAAGACCGATTTGCATAGATCTGACTACGTTTTTTGGTGCGATTGTTTATCAATTGCCGTGAATTATTCAATTTTTAAATTAAAAAATTAAAATAGTTATAAATAGTTATTCTATTGAAAGACTGTTTAATTCCAAAACTATATATGTTACTTATTGAAGAGAATAAACGGACCGCTATTCAAGCTATAAAAAGAATTAACAATTTACTGAAAACAAGTACTAGGTTTGCTAACTATGTTATTAATTATATTGATGTATTGTGAATAAATTATGATTGAAAGTAATTTCATTTAATTGTATCATATTTATTATAGTTGAACTATAAGATTGTTTTATAGTGTGTTTTTCTGCAAAAAAAAAATATTATTACTTGCAGGTACTTCTATTAACGAATAGGAAATTACAATACTTCATGCTTAGAAGTAAAAATTCTATAG